GAAAACACCAAACAACCTCCTTGGTGGGGCATCAAGAACCACGATGAAAGCTCCACCCTGCTTGGAAAGAAATTCCACCCTGCTGGGGACGCCCCGGTAACAACCCGTCCTGCTGAGGAATATCAGAGACCTCTAATGAGGATCCCACTCTACTGAGGAATGGGTCATGCTTCTATTTGAACAGTTGCCCTATCGAGGGAATCAGCACTAAATTCTGCTCGAGGAAGAAAATCCTGAATACTTATATTACTGGAAAGACACCAGAACGTCGACTCCATGAGGGAAAGGGCGTCAAAGACGTTGCCTCTGCTGGAGAATAATACTGGATAACAATCTACCTTGTCGCCGAGGGAATATCCTTCCACCTTACTCTACTAGGAACATGCTGAGAACAAATCCACCCTACTGGGGATTATTGTAGGGAGACAAAACCTCGTTCTGCATGAGACACGCCACACTTTTGCTGGCGACATCTGACTTAATAACGAGATTCTGTGGGGAAACAAACTCTTTGTTGAACAAAATGCCTGACTGCATTCCACCTGAAGGAACCCTTTGAAAACTTGTCGAGGTATACGAACCTGTTTACGCTGGGAAACAAAACTTTGAACTCCCGCTAGGGGAAAAATGAATCATCCTATATCACAATTTCACCGTCGTGGAGAAACACTCTACCGGGGAGAGCTGCCATCCTGCAACAAACAAGAGCATGTCTTACATGCAAAATGGATACTTTGGTTACCATTCATGATACTTGTTGCCCAAGCAAAATCATTGCTTCCGTTATGCTCTGTAAAGCCTCATGTTTTCACCTGCAACGTTTACCAAAATAACGAACGTTCTTCGCAAACAGAATAATAACAGTAAAAACAAGGAACGAAAAATTCTTTGACTGAAGTGAATACTTTATTGATAAGAAGCCTGCAAATATGCGAATTACAATTCGGATGCAATTCCTGAAAAGAGGTAATTGCGTAAAAGCAAAAGAAAATATACAAATGTTGGCAATGTGGCAACAGACAACCACCATGTGTCTATTCAGCTATGCTACGCAATGGGAAGGTATGAGCACCCCTCACGTCTGTTGTACTCAACGGGATCCACGCTTGTTATCTATCTAAAGGGTGTTAATCTATCTAAGCTACAGGCTACAGGACAAAAGAAAAGAAAAGAGACTTGATAGAGCATCGCCACTCTATGCCTACATATTCCCTCGTACAATGGAAAAGTCAGAGTCAACGTAGTTCGGGAAACTACGGGTGAAGGTGGGAAAGGTTGCTCGCCAAGACATTGTCGTCTTGTACCTACATATCCTCATCTGGTATGAGAAATCAGAGCAAACATAGTTCGGGCTGACACGACCATAGATTGGTTCAAGTGTTTTACCCGAGTAAGGTTAAACCTTAGTTCTAGCAGTTAGGTGTATTGCTGCTCGACCATTGGAGAGTTAGGCATTACCTGTTTGCGATAGAACCAAGAGTTAACAACACTCTTTTATGAAAATGATTTTCAAATAATTCCGAAGGATAAAAAGGTTTGATGTTTGTTTTTGAGTCTTTTAGTGAAGTGAGTTAGTTTGATTGTTGATTCACATTGCACTAAAGATTATGACATAGGAACGAATGCGTCGCATATCGCCCCCAAACGGGACGTACACTAAACACTCTAGACAAGCGAGAGGAGACCCCTCACTCATCATTCCCCATGTGCTTAAGGCTCGTATCGTACAACATTAATCATATTTATTAGATGAGTTAGAATATGTTTTGAGATGAGAAGAGAGACGCGCGGAAGGTCTAAGGGAAACTCGGCCCTAATGTTGTCATGCAAAAATGACCTAAAGTTGGGATTGAAAGGGAAATCTACCCTAATGTTAGCATGCTTGGATTGAACACCTAATGTCTCTCCTACTCCCATCCTAAGCGGAGGGACTAGGAATCCTAAGGGATCATGGCAAGGAAAACCAAGAAAACACAAGATAAATCAATCACAAGTAGAAAGAAATGGAAGATAAAATGCAACATGAAATGCAAACACAAAAGAAAAGTGGGAGGAAAAGGTGTGGGACAGCAGCCACCACAACCACATCTAACCAAGCAATTCTTCAAACTCAAGCAAAGCAAAAGAAGCATGCACTCATCACTTTGAACAACATCCATGAAAGTATGCATTCAAGTGGAAATCGAACACGCGTGTCGAAGAAATCATGATTGAACAATCAAGAACAACAACACAATATCCAAAACATCTCACTCCAATGCATCATATTGATCCATGAAGATTCAAAGTGAGATGATATCGAAACAAGCTTGAAAAACAGCAAATATGACATTCTGGTTCAGTGTTAATCGGTTAACACATATGGTTAACCGATTAACTAGTTAAAAATGATTGAAAATTTGAAAACTCGCACTGGTTAATCGATTAACCAATTTGTACTACAACTGGTTAACCGATTAACACTGTACCAGAAGCAGAAAACAGCAGCTCAAAAGCACTTTTCAGCAATTAATCACTTCTCCAATAATCCAGGTGATTATATAATCAATTATGCACGAAATTAACACCAGAAAACAGTGATCTAGGAATATGTAAACACATTCAAACATCAAGATCAAAATTCACATAAATCAAATCAACAAAATCAATCAAAAATGAATATCAACATGATGATTATGCAAATAAGCTCAAAACAGAATTGGATCTAGAATTTCCAACCTACAAAACGGAGATTTGCTTTGGTAAATGTTGATTCAACTTCAAATGAGCATATCCAAGCAAGAAATCCAGAGATTCAACTCCAATCCTCCCCGGGGCACCAATCGCAGGAGCCAGGGACAAATGTTCTCTACCCTAATTTTGAAGGATCCTCTGGCGTATTCGCCGGAAAAACCCACGGCGTTCCCAGCACCCCTAGTGGAGCCGCCGGAAGCGACGCCACAAACACCAAAAAACACCAGGAAAGGTGCGAGAACTTACGTGATATGAATGCAGAAAAGTTGTTGCTGGGCAGAAAAATCCTAGATGTCGAGCAGAATAGATCGAAGGTGTCGGGCAGAAAATTCCGGTGTTGAGCAGCTGCAGAAAGCGAATGAGCGAAAAGACGAGACAGATCTACGCATATATACCCCTAGCACGGGAAACGAAGCGTCGCTAGGCATTCAAGTGCCTAGGCCGTAGCCGTCACAGGAAGACACGTGGCAACCCTCAATCTCCCCTGCGTCCCTTTAACTTCTCCTCTCGACCGCGGGCACCGCCTCGACGTAAGTTCACCTAGCCGACATGATCACGACCTGTCCGGTGGATACCTGCCCGACTGGTCAACGAGCCCGACACCATTCCATACTCAAGCCATAGCTCGCACGACCGCGAACAATGACTTGGGAGGCTACTGTTCTAGATTGGACCGACGCTTAGACCACCTCCCAACAGGCCCAAGCCCAACGAGGTTGGGCCCAAGAATACCGCGTTGACGAGCAGGATCCCCCGTCGAGCACAAGGTCCCCCCGACGGCATAGACCAACCGCAGTCGGGCAGGACCTTCGCATCCGACCAGCCAGTCCCTTTCTTCCTCATCGTCGAGCAGGACCCTCGTGTCCGACCAGCCAGTATCCTTCTTCCCCATCGTCGAGCAGGACCCTCGTGTCCGACCAGCCTCCTCGAGCTGGTCGGAGAACTCCTCGGGCCTTACCCCACGTGTCCCTCACGGAGGGACACGTCATAAAGTAACTACCCACGTCCTGGAGATTCGGTCCTTCTCCTCCCGGATAGTGCAGAACGGTTACTCTAGGGTGAAGACCACGTCCTGGCCTTCACGACGCCACGTCATCTCTAGCAGTTACTAACATTGGGTCTGGCAGCTCAGCCCAGTGCTAGGTAACCGTTGGCCCTGCACTGGAGGCTCACTATAAATACCCTCTTCACAAGAGGGTTAGGTAACTTAACTCTCTTACTCTCTCTTTGTACTTGCTTCCACTCAAATGGTAAGGGACTACGGAAGCCACGTCAACATTGAGTAGGTTGCGCTTTTAATGGGGAAAAGTACCAACTCTGAAACCATTGTTTCTACACTTGTTTCTTTGTTCCTTCAATTCCACCACCACTTATTACCCTTTTTCCTTTTCCTAACAAAGAAAAAAACACACACACAACCATTCAACACAAAGATAGGGAATAGGACAGTGGAAATGAGAATAAGATAGAATTGATGTTGAAGAAAGAAACACAAAATCCATTTTCTTATTGTTTGTCAGAGTTGACCAAAACCACTTCCCAAACACTAGTACATAAAAAAACACAAATAAACAAACATGAAAGCATCATGAAACTGTGTCTGTCCCTCTCTTAACCTTTGTTTGCGGCGAAGACAAGAAAAGATTTCACATTTTGTCTCACCAGGTTCCTTATTTCTCTTCTATTTCTCTCTCCTCCTTCTTATCAGATCTTACATGTGAATTAAGGTAGTTGTTCATGTGAATGTCTTCTTTTTTTCTTGTAAAAAAAATCTTTTTTTTTATGAATTAAGATTTTTTTTTTCTTTTTCCTTGGTGGGTTTTGCATGTTATTGTATGTTTTTTCTTATTTTGGTATTTTCACTTGATGGGTATGAATTTATTTTGTTGGGGACATGATGTTTTATATAGTCCTTAAATGGAACTACTTTGATAAGTTTTGAGAATTATAGATTTGTTTCCAAAATTGGAAGATGTTTCTTTTGGAGTTTTTCCTGTTTTAGAAAGTTTACTTCATTAGGTTTTATATCTATTCATAGGAGTGGCACATGAATTTGACTAAATTAAGGTTTTTATCATTAATTGTTTTCATGATTTTAAGTTAAAAGTTCAGTCTTGTTTTTTGCAGGAAGTGAAAGCTTGGGAGAGCTTTGTTTGTTTTTCTTTTCCAGATGGAAGATTTTAAGGATGAAATAGGAATTTCGGTTTGAGATCTTTCGTGCAAAGTCGAGGTTTTGAACTATTGTTAGTTACAAATTTGGAGTAAGAATGTCTGCAGAGTCTGTTCCCAAACCTCGATTCGTATTATGTCCTAAATGCTGGCAGCTGCTTCAAGAGGCTCCGGATTTGGATGTGTACAAGTGCGGTGGATGCGGCGCGACTCTTCAAGGTTAAAAATCTTATCATGTTTATGTTCTTACTTTTAGAGGAGTGTTGTCAAATAGCAGCTAGCATAGTGGTATTTTAACAACCTGGCATTGTTCCACTATAACATAGCGGAATTTGAACAAACCGCTATTTTCTACCATCTGCGGTTCACAACACTGTTTTAAAGTTTTGTTTTCTTTTGAAACATGATGTTTCCAGTACTTGTGTATGTATTAACTTCTATGAAATCTTTTACTTCCGAATGAGGATACTGATTCTATACATAAACCTCTTATAGTTTTTAATATTTGTTATTGGAATAACTTATTTGTACTCGATGCAGCTAAGAAAATAAAAAGTAAAGCTGCAAACGCAGAATCCAGCTCAAATGAGATTGACGCAGCTCCTCGAAATGTATCGGATCTTAGTCCCCAAGAGAATGTTTTAAGGGAAAAAGAAACAAGTTCCTCTGCAGATTGTTCTTCTGAGCGAAGTGAAGGAAGGGAGCAAATAAAAAATAGTGAGTGCAATGGAGAGCAGCCGGTTACTACTCGAGTGAATGGTTTAAGGGAAACGACTTATTTTTCTTCCTCGGGAGAATGTTCTTTGGAGGGAAATACTAAAAGGGATCAAATTGAAAATGGTGAATACAGTGAAGATCAACCAGTTATCTCTCAGGAGAATGGTTTGAGGGAAAAAGAAGCTAGCTCTTCCTCAGGAGAATGTTCATTGGATGGAAATAATGAAAAGGGTGAAATTGAAAACGGTGAATGTGATGAAGAGCGGATTGGACCGTTGAACTTACCAGATGAAGAACCGGAAAATGCGATGGATATCAATGAGTTATCAGATATCAGAACACATACAGCGTCCAACAAAGGTTGTTCAAATGAGCTTCCACAATGTGATATTGAGGCCTCAGCCGAATCATTGGCAGACAATTCAGTAGAAAAGGAAAACGAGACTAACTTGAAACTAGAAGAAGAAGAGCAAAGTAATGAAAACATGCCATCAGAAGGAGCAGGAAATCGGTTCATTAGTGCGTTGGATAGAGAATATGCCAATGATGAGATATCGGATCTAGTAGGCGTGAAGTCTGAAGCAGACATCGTTGAAAGTGATTTAGAAGTGGCAGGAGAGTTCAATAATGGAAACTTGTCACAGGAAGGAGCAGACCAGAAGTTAATTTTTGGATCAGATGAACAATGTGTCAATAATGAGAAATTGTCTCTAGTAGGTGAAAGCCGAGCAACAGATGTTGATGGGATCGATAGTGGAAACTTGTTATTACAAAGAACAGAAGTGGACCCTGGTGGAAATGCATCTCCTGCCGAAAGGTTGAGTGCTGAATACATTGAGTCGGAAAAAATAAGCGTTTTATGTGTTTCTCCTCGTGAACTTAAAGGAGATACATCTGAAAATCATGCATCTTCTCCTGAAAATATCCGCCATAGCTTTGACCGTGTAATGTCTGCAGATACATTTGACGACACAGAAGTCAATAATATCGGTTTGAAGATTAGTGGTTCACTGGGAGATTTGACTAAATCTCCAACCACTAGAAGTTCTCATGCTTATGATGGAAGTGTCTCTTCTAATGATGGGTTGGACGAGCGGTCCCTCGGTCAAAATTTATATTCTTATGAGGGTGGCTCGAGAAAGGGAAAAAGTGTGGTTAATAACATGCTATATGAAGATGTTCAAACGCAATATCAAAATGAGGTGATGGAGACGACAAGACATGATCATGCACATCGGATGAGAACAAAAAAAGACGAGTTTCCGTTCAAAATGCCTCTTCATGGAAATTTTTCCCAATCTGGCTATGAAAGCGGTAGTCCATCGAATCAAATATACGACGAACTCTATGTCAGTTCAAGCTATGTTTCACCTGACTCTGTCGAGGACCCTGATCAGGAGAAGATGAAACTGTTGAGAATGGTTTATAAATTGCAGGATCAGCTCAACAGAACCAGACACGTAAACATGGAAACAAATGAAAAACCGTCCGTGTTAAATCATAGTTCTTCATATCAGAGTCAAGATTTTCATGACGGAAGATTTTATCATGGTTTGGATTACCCTAATGAGGATGCAAATGCAAGCTACAGTCATGGCATCTACATGCACCAAAGGCGGCATAACTTTTCAGGGATAGCACCAGGCAACGCACGCCATGTTGATCATCCTAGTTTCAACTACTATCCACAAGAACAGCAATGCATGGGAAATTTTCCTCCGCAATTTCCTTACCAGCGTGAAGATCTTTATAGGCCCCATTCGGCTCATAGCCATGTCTTATCTCAGCATTCTTATCCTTCAAGTCCGCAATGGTTAATGACCAAACACGTACACGGTCGTGAAACAAAATCTTGTGATCAGAAATACAGGTCCCCCGAGATGAACTATACAAGGGAAAATTCAAACGTTAATAAGCGACATTACCGGCCAGTAGCAGGTGGAGCGCCGTTTCTCACTTGTCTTAAATGCTTAAATCTTCTGCAACTTCCTGCAGATTTTCTTCTCTTCAAAAGAGTATGTCATAAACTCAAATGTGGTGCATGTCAAGAGGTGCTTAAATTTTCTCTACAGAATAGAATTCATATAGTTTCCTATGCTCCGACATCAAGTGAACTTGATGTACAGAACATGGTGATAAATGGCATCAGTTCTCATGCTGTGGACCCTGTGTCATATTCCGATGATTACGGCCATTCTGCTAGTAAAAGCTACTCCTCAGAAGGAGATCCTGTTTCTGTTGCACCGTTTCATCACTCGCGCGATGGTGCACATGGTAATCCAAGAGTCTCTCCGACTACCGTTGAAGCTATAACAGCGAAGGAGAAAATCGCTTCAAGAGGACCTGGCACAAGTAAGACTCCATCCGATAAATCATCAGAAATAGAGGAACACCAGTCACAGCCGAAACCTTCAGCACTTCACCAACTCATGGGTTATTCCTCTCCAAGTCTAGTGATAAGAGGTGCTTCATCCACTCTTGAAGGAAAAAAGGCCATGCTCAGTGGAGAATATTAATTTCCAACAGAGCTGAAAATTGAATTTGTTGAATCTAACTTGAAGCTGGAAATGTCAAAAAGGAATTCTTTATTCAAATTTGAGAAACAATGATGAAGCATCGCAACAATCATGTATTTTATTTTTCGTAACTATATGGTGGTTTGAACAAGGGCAATAGGAGTGACTTATCGCTCATGATAGTGTATTTTGTTATTCAACTTGCTGTTTTGGAAACATGTGGAAAATATAATACTTGTATAAATGTGATTCTGTTTATATCGATGTAACTGTTTGTGTTTATTTTTTAATACTGTGTTAATTGAAAATTTATTGTATCCCAAATGAGTCAAGCTAACTACAACAATGGCTTATTTCATTTATATATACAAAAGTAACAGTACAGATAAAATCTTTTGAGCTAAAATGAGGTACATCTATATTTCTTATATTCTTATATACTCTTCTTATTAAATTTCTCTATAGTTGCTTCTTCTGTTGGAGGCAATAGAAATCCTCTGATCCTGAAGCATGTTCAAATTGGGAGCCAACAACCTCGTGTAACGATCAAAATACAAGAGCTGCTTCAGGAGAAGCGCAAATTCTCGTGGAAACTTTAATCCATAAGATTCACTAACCCGAACCTGTGGAGTACAAAGAGTACAAAGACGGCATAAGTACTACATAATAATTAGCCTTCATCAAACAATTAACATAGGAATTCCTCAATTGAGATGATCATTGTATAAATGAAAAAGTGGTAGTTGATAATGGACTCTGGAGCTTTATTGTCGACATAAAACTGCGTTAATATTCCAGTTAGCACAATCTAAAATATCTTACCACATCAAGAAATAGTGCATTCATCTGCCTCTCATCAACAACTACATTAGCAGAGATAGCAGCTGGGTTTCTGGCTGTTCCACTTCTAGCTGCTACAACTACTTCAGTGTCCAACTCCTGCACTTGAATAGCAGGCACAAATGCAGAATGTAAGCAATAACTCCAAATGGGTTTGGTCAAGTTAATGTACAAAGCTGAAAAATGCTCCCCAAATTAGCAGACACGTAAACATTGACCTGCATAGTCGCTGTCACGCATATAACTGACAAGTGAGTTTATGTGTGATACAGTACACTTGCCTTAATTGATGAGAACACTTTCTCCAAATCTCTGGAAAAGGCATTAGCATTAACATCGTTGCTTGTAGCACCCATTTGAATTAAGGATGATGCCATTGAGTCATAATCTTCAATGGCAATTGATCCTAAGAAGACTTCCATAGCAGCCCATGTTTTGGGAGATATACGACCAACAATTCCTGTAGATTGATATTTTTTTAGAATATAGATATAGATTGTACATGTACACAATATCTATACATGTATATTGTAAGTACAATATAAACATCTGAGTATTGTAAAATGTGTGGTCATTTAGAAGAGAAAAGGCATGGTTTATAAAAGAACAAAGGAAATAACAATGATTAGAGTTTGCAAAGATGATAAATTTCAAATAAAATGTATAGACAGCTCTGAAACCTTGGAGAGTTAACAGATGACTAAAGTACGGAAAAACGATACACCACAAGTATGACCAATGGTAAACCGCACACAAGGAAGAAAAAGCATACCAAAGTCAAGAAATCCAATACGACCATCACGTAGAAGCCACAGATTTCCAGCATGTACATCTGCATGAAAAGATTCACATGCAAGCAAACTTCCAAACCTGCAGCAATATTTTATACCAAGATACATTATCATGTTAAAAGAGGAAGGCACGGAGACGTAAACTGCAAAGAGGAACTTGGAGTCATACCACACATTGAGAGCATTTATAACACTAGTTTCTGGGCTAGTAACTAATGAACTAATGGAGTCTAGGTCAGTAAGAGGAACTCCATATAGTCTTTGCATGGTTAGAACTTGCCGTGTACTACAGTATTTATACACTTTTGGAGCCGTTGCTTGCCCAGTGAGTCCTGTTGCTTCTAAATATCTCCTGAAAGCCTCAATATTTGCAGCCTCCTTGTAAAAGTCAACCTCTTCAAGCATAGACTCTCGTATGTCCTTTACAATACCAACCTACTAAAACGAAGCACATGTTATAAGAAATGAAGCACTTGTGCAAGTGTTTGGAAGAGCTTATGAAAACAGGTTATGCTATGACCCTAAGCCCCCGCAATTGCTTCCAAAAACAGCTTATGTAGAGTTTATATGAACTACACTCGTATTTCATTTCAATGACAGAATAGGTTATACAATAACACTTACACAATAACCTCATTAAATAAGTGCCTAAGTAAGTTGTTTACCCAAATGAGCACCAAAAGGAACTCTATAGACATCCGTTAAGTGATATTTAGAGGTTAATGGTCTATCTATCTCTAAACCTAACACATGAAACAATTTTATGACATTGATAGATCCGTGTAGCCAATTTCATCCAGTGGTGTAGTTGTTGACCACAAAACTATTAACAGAAGAATACAAATAAAGAAGCTTTAAGCATCCTTAACTATATAAAAAACAAGAAAGAAAATGAATATAATAAAAGTGACAAGAACAAAGAATAATGAATGTAACATAGTTAAAAATTTCATTGGCAGTGAAAAAATGCAATAAAAGAAGCATTATTTTTCATATTATATTTGTAGCAAGAGTATTCGTGTAGAAGTGTGTCCATATTTCTTATACCAGTGATGTCCGACTTATTTCAGGATTCAAGAACTCCAATACCCGAGCAACAACATAAACAAAATTAAGATCCGCCACTAATATGTCCTCTATTCCTGGTTTTAAGACCTTTATAACCACATCCTCCTGTGAGCCTTTTAGCCTTGCACCATGAACCTATATGTAATACAACAACGGCATTAGCACAGTAAGTTAAATAAAATGTTACTGAAAGAGGTGTAATACAACAACGTACACAATATACCTGTGCTATAGACGCAGAAGCAAGGGGTGTTGGGTCAACATATTCGTAAACACTTTCTATTGGTCTTCCTAGTTCCTTGCGCAATATTGATTGAATTTTCTCAAAAGAAACTGGAGGAGCTCTATCAAAACAGTTCTGGAATTCTTGTACATACTCAGCTGGAAACAGTGTTGGTGCGGACGCTATGAACTGCCAGACAGAAACCAAAAAAAACCATTGGTACAAATTCTTCGTCATAAAGTTCAAGGATATATTAAACTTTAACTCTTAGGATTAGTTTCCACATTCTTAGAATGTGTGGGTTGGGCCTAATTCGACCCTACAAAACCGGCTTGTAAGGTGAGAATTGTCCCCACTTATAAATAGAACACATGTCATATCTATAAGCAATATGGGACTAAATCCACCCCTTCAAAGCCAACACAATGAAGGTGTTAGGGGCTGCAATGAAGGCAAGCCAAAGTGCCGCAATTAAGGCGGAAAGTCCAACACACATTTCTTTATATTTCATAATTTGTTTCCTCAATAAATTAGGATTCAAGTCTAGTATTAGTCTAATTGATGGTCGGTTCCTAGTCTTTTTTGTAAGAAACCATAACAGAATTTGAGGTCAGTAATATTTTTTCCCTCCCTCCTTACCTAAAAAAACCCTGTAATTTGAACAATTACAAAACATAAACTGAGGAGTGAGGAGGAAGTAATGGTTACCAACTTATACCTGTCCTAATTTGATGTAGGTTGCCCCGAGGCGTTCAAACAACCTTCTTAAATAAAAGGGGGACAGTAGACCAAGTTGCAATTCTTTTGGTAACCCAGCAGATGAATTTGTTGACTGCAAAAAAATGCAAGAATGCTAAACAATTCTGTCTTTTTTTGATGAAAAAACAAAAAAAAAAATGTTGAGAAAAATAGAAGACACAAACTACTATTCTAAAGGAATCAAGAACAGATGCAGTTTTTTATTTCATTGACAAAGAACAAAGGGTTAGCAGTGTATACACCAGCAAAATATCTCAGACCTATACATTTTAAAATAATCCTTCCTAAACACAAGAATTGTCAATTGCGGAAAATAGCAATTTGTTTGAGTTCTGCTACACAATAGCATTGTAGCTTCTATTTAACAACGTTTTGTACTAAATAGTTCAAATTCCGCTACGTTATAGCTGCTATTTAACAACACCATATTCTCATAGAGAAGATATGAATACATCTAATCTGCAGCTTGACTACAAACTTCAAACAAGGTAAAGAAAACATAAAATGTCATGCCAGGAAATAAACATATAGAATGTTAGTTTACTTTTGATGCATCAGTTAACCACTCTTGACCAACTCCAAGGAAGGCTTGAACACCTTGAACCAACCTAAGAGCACCCCTAGGACCCGTCTCTACAGATGTCTGAACAATGTCTTCCACAAGCTTGGGCAGCTTTTCAATACTATCTGACATAACAAAGCACACAAAATTACAGCCATTTCAGCACAAAAACCCAAACCATTCCACAGCCAGAGAGTAATTAATTTAACACCAACACGTGTGTGAGAAAACATTTATTATATTTTTTTATTATCAACTATGAAACAATTGTCTTAATATTAACTCTCTAACAACAATTACATGATCATTTATGTTCCGGGCTGGCCAGAGGCCCAATAACAGACAGGTCTAATCATCAATCCAAGATTATAAGGGGTTGAAGGTACAATGTACCCACTGCCCTAAGACTCATACTCAATCCACACCACAGACGGATATTCACCATTGGATATCATCCAATGGCTTCCGCATTCCATGCCGGAAAGCTATGATGCATAAGTACGGGTTATACAGATATCCACCATTGAATATCATCCAATGGCTTCCCACATTCCATGCCGGAAAGCTATGACGCATAGGTGCAGGTATGGTACCCGGTGCGGATACTAATAAGGGATAGGACATTTTTCAAAAATCAAGCTACGGGCAAGTTAATAAGAAATAAGAAATTTCTATAAAATGTATGAATAGAAAACTAAATTGTTAGGAATATAACAAAACTCCACTATAAAAAATTGAAAAAAAAATTGAAAAAACA